TCTCTACTTCCTCCTATTGATAGTTTGTCTTTTATATTTTACCTTTTATAAACCCTCATCTCTCCCCACCACACAAGGCGCGGGGGCAGCAAGCCCAGCGCCTCCCCCCACCTGGCTACTTTCCTCACTCACATTCCGAGAAAGTGATGGTCTCCAGGCTTTCTATGCCCCCAGTAACTCAACCCTCCACCTCCCTCACGCCCTCCATAAACACCTCACTCTACCTCCAGCCCTCCTCCATACAATACCTCACTCACTCCCTTCAGAAGCAATCTCTCCTGCCTACCTCCATCTTTCTCCTACCCTCCCTCCCTCCCAGCCCATGCCCACCAAACAAAAAAGGAGGACAAGTAGCAGGAAAGGAACAAGTAAAGTGTGATAGGGTCTGTATAGGTAGTCTTATTCACTGGTCACTGTTGGCAATGATTGGAGGCTGGGAAAGGAGGGGAGATGGAGGGAGCGGGAGGGAGGGTAGGGGGTAGGGGATGGGAGTAGAGTTGCTGGGGAGGAGGGAGGGGGGGGAGATGGGAAGGAGAGGTGGGGAAGGAAGGCCGGTAAGATGGAGGAGTGGGGGGAGGGGGAGGGTGAGAGAATGAATGGGAGGTGAGAGACATGACAGAGAGAAATGAGTGTATAGTGAGAAATATGAGAGATAACACCAACACACATACAGTACAGTACATGTACCCCAGAGTCTTTGTCACTCCCCCTCACCACATTCCTCTCCAACATCCCTCCAACCCCATCTACCTCCTACTTGGTAACCACATATACACCAGCACCGCCCCCATACACCAGCACCGCCCCCGGTTACTCCTGAAGGAAACATCTTCCCTCCTACCCTGAAGGACTCTCAAGGATGTCCTCTTTAGGTGTTTAAAAGAACCACAAAAATGTCCTTTTTTTTATTTTTTAGTGAAACTTTTAAGAAATTCCTCTAGTGGAGTTAACTTGTCATCACCACCCACTAGTAGTACAGGTAAAGCCTCACATCCTCACCTGAGCCTAACTTGTCATCACCACCCACTAACAGTACAGGTAAAGCCTCACATCCTCACCTGAGCCTAACTTGTCATCACCACCCACTCACAGTACAGGTAAAGCCTCACCTGAGCCTAACTTGTCATCACCACCCACTAACAGTACAGGTAAAGCCTCACATCCTCACCTGAGCCTAACTTGTCATCACCACCCACTAACAGTACAGGTAAAGCCTCACATCCTCACCTGAGCCTAACTTGTCATCACCACCCACTAACAGTACAGGTAAAGCTTCACATCCTCACCTGAGCCGAACTTGTCATCACCACCCACTAACAGTACAGGTAAAGCCTCACATCCTCACCTGAGCCGAACTTGTCATCACCACCCACTAACAGTACAGGTAAAGCCTCACATCCTCACCTGAGCCGAACTTGTCATCACCACCCACTAACAGTACAGGTAAAGCCTCACATCCCCACCTGAGAGCGAAACATTATGATTTATGTCACAAGCTAAACACGTTCTGCTTCTTCCACAAATATTGTTTTGTTTTTTTCTTTCGGACGTCATATTGTTTTCTGATTGTGACTCGTCTCTTATTGGTCAGTGAATCAGCCAATCAGAGACGGTCGTTTAGTTAATATATACCAATTGTCTCTGTCTATGGGAGCAGTGACGTGTTGGAGGCCCCATTCCCGCGCTCCTTAACCAACACATTTGCCTCGTCATAGGAAGGTGAGTGAGCACAGGTGTGGAGAGGATGACGAGGAATGAATTAACTCACTGGTCGAGAGAGAGAGAGAGAGAGAGAGAGAGACCCGGGCAACACCAGTCCACCATTGCGTTCTTTGGTGGCCTTGAGAGAAAGCGGTGGCAGGTAGGGACAGTTGGTACGCCTCCTCCTCCACCACTAATCATCCTCCAACACTCCACCACACCTTCTCCCCAATTCCTCAACAAGAAACATCTCCCCCAACATTGAAAATAAGATCAATAAGACAACTAACTTTTTACCGACATTTTTACGTAAGATTCAAACTTGTTTTGACTCAACCTTCCACCAGACTCGTTTGTTGTGGTTCATCTTCTTATGTAAAGTTTAAGGTAATTATTGATGCGCCTCTGGTTAACAATATTTATGGAAGGTGGCGTACTCTCTCTCTCTCTCTCTCTCTCCACATACACTACATCCTTGACCACCGAAGGGTCAAGGCGAAACCTGGCGCTCCTCTGGGAGCAGCCAGGTCAACTGTGATGTTGGCCCATACCAACTCCCTCCCCTGAACCCTTCTCCCCACCGGAATATCAACAAGTTCTCGCCAGAAGTTACAATTTCATTTAAGAAAGGAATGGAACCAGTGTTGAACAGAGGTGAATAGTGTTGAATAGTGCTTAAGTCAGTGGGAACAAGTCAACAGTATCAGCCGAGTCGTACCCAAGTTAACCTTCACACAGTAAGGTCCCAGGTACCCAGTGATAACTGCCCGTGAGACACAACAACAACCAGCGATGTGTTAATCCGTCTACGATAGGAAGGCCTGGGACCACACCTCACTCATATAACACCATCTGTGAGGGAATTACTACTACTGTAAGATATTGAACAGGTACTGTAAGATATTGAACAGGTACTTTAAGATACTGACCAGGTACTGTAAGATATTGAACAGGTACTGTAAGATATTGAACAGGTACTGCGGGATATTCGGCAATTTCTTAGATAGACCGAGATAACATCATATTCTCCGGGACGAGGAGATGAGTTCAGAGAGAGAAATTAACTCCTCAGAAAATAGGTATCATGGTCACGCTGTCTCTCACACCACGAGACACCAGCAGCCAGGCGTCTCTCACACCACGAGACACCAGCAGCCAGGCGTCTCTCACACCACGAGACACCAGCAGCCAGGCGTCCCTCACACCACGAGACACCAGCAGCCAGGCGTCTCTCATACCACGAGATGTCTTATGTTCACTTTAACAGAATAAAGCTTAAAGTCGGTGACGTATTGGTGTGGGGGGGGGCAGGGCAGGACAGGGGAGGGGGGCAGGGCAGGACAGGGGAGGGGGGCAGGGGAGCTTAGTTTCTATAACCTCTTGGGGCACAGCCAGGTAGTGCAGGGGGGGTGAGAAAGCTAAGGGTACGAGGATGATGTGGGAGGGAAGAGTGGGGATAGAAGATGGTCGAGGTGGGATGGTGTGAGGATAGGAGGGGGCAGGAAGCACTTGAGATGGTTTATGTGATGGAAAGATAGAGTAGTTAACACAGGAAGAGGATTATGTGGAATAGATGAATGGTCGTACGTGACGCAGAGAGATGCGAGGTGCAGAAGAGAGGCAACAAGGGAGGGGAGGCGGAGCGATAGGGAGGGGTAGGGAGTGTGCAGAAGAGAGGCAACAAGGGAGGGGAGGCGGAGCGATAGGGGAGCGACAGGGTACGGGAGCCAGGACAAGTTTCTCTCTGACCAACACCTTACTTCCGGCGGCTCTCCACCGACCTACCAGGTGATGACACCAGCCATCTACACCCTGGGAGAAACAGTTGGGGGGGAACTGGGGAGCCCATGTACTGGGGAAGCTGGGGGAGAGAGAGAGAGAGAGAGAGTTATCAGGTGACGTGGAGACCTGATGTGTGAGGTAAGGGAGTAGGACCCGGTGGTGGTGGTGGTGGTGGGGCAGAACACGTCTTATACTGTCAGCCGACCACTGCTTCCGTGTGACCTACACCAGGGACCGTGTACTGTACAGGAGAGAGGGAGAGAGAGAGTGTTGACACTACCTTTTTAATTCATTTCGTCCGTTGTGTCATATTGTCTTGTAACACAAAAGAGTAAAGATACTTTTTGGTGTGTGTGTGTAGGATGTTGCTGGCCACACACACACATACACTACCTTCTGCCGCGGCCTTGAAGAACTGTACCTCTCCTTGTACTTATATATTTTAAATTCTCCTTCCTTCTTGACTATATTATCCTTTATCCCCTGCTCCATCACGTGTTATCCTTCCCATATTATCCTTTATCCCCTCCTCCATCACGTGTTATCCTTCCTTCCTTCTTGACTATATTATCCTTTATCCCCTGCTCCATCACGTGTTATCCTTCCCATATTATCCTTTATCCCCTCCTCCATCACGTGTTATCCTTCCTTCCTTCTTGACTATATTATCCTTTATCCCCTGTCCATCGTGTTATCCTTCCCCATATTATCCTTTATCCTCCTCCATCACGTGTTATCCTTCCTTCCTTCTTGACTATATTATCCTTTATCCCCTCCTCCATCACGTGTTATCCTTCCTTCCCATATTATCCTTTATCCCCTCCTCCATCACGTGTTATCCTTCCTTCCCATATTATCCTTTATCCCCTCCTCCATCACGTGTTATCCTTCCTCCCTCTCTCCCTAGAACAGTTTTACTCTCTTCATTCCTCCCATTTACTCAATCGCTCTTCTTCCTCCTCCCTTTCTGTTTCCTTCTCTTCCTCTGTGTTGCTGCTATCGCCTCCTCCTCCTCTTCTGTATTCCTGTCTCTTACTCCTCCTCCTTCTCCTCCTCTGTATTCCTGTCTCTTACTCCTCCTCCTTCTCCTCCTCTGTATTCCTGTCTCTTACTCCTTCTCCTCCTCTTCTGCGTCACTGTCACGTGTTTGGCATCACTCGGTAAACAGAGTAAGACCTTGAGTCGATAGACAGACACCGATAGATAATAGATAGATAGATAATAGATAGATTGATAGCTAGATGTTATCCATCGTAAAATAGCTGTCACTGTATTTATGGTGTCAGAGATAGCACCAGTACTATGGTGTCAGACTTCAGGACCGGACAGTAGTGTTTTATACAGTAACAATAAACATCGACATTATTAGTATGTAAATTATTTGTGGTGATAGTGCTCCGAGGGTCAGGTCGAGTCTCGTCATGTTCCTTGATGTAGAGTAGAGTAGAGTAGAGTAGAGTAGAGTAGAGTAGAGTAGAGTACAACATGTCCTGACCACACACAAAACATCGCCTTACCTTGATCATGGTGGCGGGTGTGTGCGTCTGTGGAGAGGGAATGATCCCACTTAGGGCCTCCACTTATCCTGGGGTGACCCTCACTCGCACTGTGTCCTGAAGCACCTCACTTGGTGTGCTTGACTGCCGCCACTCACACTCTGTACACCGGTGCTGTCTCCCGCTCGGCGCGTCCCGACAGAAACAAACGCGCCTGGCCACGAGTCACTCACTTATATATGCTGCCGTGAAAGTTGGCCATTACTCCCAGGAGTCTGCGTCAGGGTCGAGGCTGACCCGCGTCTCACTGACCTTACACCTCACACGATATATTCCACGAGTTAGGATTTATAATTATTATTTACACACAACAAACTCTGTGCCAACGAGAGAAACATTTTAACAACACAAGAGTCAACGTGAACAAGAGATCCTATGAGTTAAAACTTTCTCCTGTGACGCTGTGCTCTCCCTCCCTCCCTCAGGACCCTGGGCAAGGATTCCTCAGTCCCTCAAGACCCAGGGCAAGGATCCCTCCCTCAGGATCCAGGGCAAGGATCCTCACTCAGGACCCTGGGCAAGGAATCCCCAGCCCCTCAAGACCCCGGGCAAGGATTCCTCCCTCAGGACCCTGGGCAAGGAATCCCCAGTCCCTCAAGACCCCGGGCAAGGATTCCTCCCTCAGTAATTAGCATTGCAAAAGTAATTAAAATATTGTAAAAATCATTTGAACATTTTCTAAAAGCCATTTGAACAAGTTATAATCAAGATATCAAATTTTGGTTAACAGATCCTTAAGCAGCACATTCAGGAGTACCTATACTGAAATTTTGAACAAAATCCATTTTTTGGCCGAAAATGACAAAAATTGTAAGTCTTATGCCTTAAAGGATTTTTGGCCAAAAATACTTTTTCTCTCTGAACTAAAATTTAATGTGCCTAACTATTTAAGTACATGCAGAATAATACACAAGCACCAAGAAATGACCTCGAAAACCCATAAGTGGCGAGTAATTAGCATTGCAAAAGTAATTAAAATATTCTAAAAATCATTTGAACATTTTCTAAAAGCCATTTGAACAAGTTATAATCAAGATATCAAATTTTGGTTAACAGATCCTTAAGCAGCACATTCAGGAGTACCTATACTGAAAGTTTGAACAAAATCCATTTTTTGGCCGAAATGACAAAAAATTGTAAGTCTATAGCCTTAAAGGATTTTTGGCCAAAAATACGTTTTCTCTCTGAACTAAAATTTAATGTGCCTAACTATTTAAGTACATCCAGAATAATACACAAGCAAGAAATGACCTCGAAAACCCATAAGTGGCGAGTAATTAGCATTGCAAAAGTAATTAAAATATTCTAAAAATCATTTGAACATTTTCTAAAAGCCATTTGAACAAGTTATAATCAAGATATCAAATTTTGGTTAACAGATCCTTAAGCAGCACATTCAGGAGTACCTATACTGAAATTTTGAACAAAATCCATTTTTTGGCCGAAAATGACAAAAATTGTAAGTCTTTGCCTTAAAGGATTTTTGGCCAAAAATACTTTTTCTCTCTGAACTAAAATTTAATGTGCCTAAGTATTTAAGTACATGCAGAATAATACACAAAAACCAAGAAATGACCTCGAAAACCCATAAGTGGCGAGTAATTAGCATTGCAAAAGTAATTAAAATATTCTAAAATAATTTGAACATTTTCTAAAAGCCATTTGAACAAGGTATAATCAAGATATCAAATTTTGGTTAACAGATCCTTAAGCAGCACATTCAGGAGTACCTATACTGAAATTTTGAACAAAATCCATTTTTTGGCCGGAAATGACAAAAAATTAGCAAGTCTATAATATAAAAAGATTTTTGGCCAAAAAATACTTTTCTCTCTGAACTAAAATTTAATGTGCCTAACTATTTAAGTACATCTAGAATAATACTAAGCACCAAGAAATGACCTCGAAAACCCATAAGTGGCGAGTAATTAACATTTACAAAAATAAATTAAAATATTCTAAAATCATTTGAACATTTTCTAAAAGCCATTTGAACAAGTTATAATCAAGATATCAAATTTTGGTTAACAGATCCTTAAGCAGCACATTTAGGGGTACCTATACTGAAATTTTGAACAAAATCCATTTTTTGGCCGAAAATGATAAAAATTGTAAGTCTAAAGCCTTAAAGGATTTTTGGCCAAAAATACGTTTTCTCTCTGAACTAAAATTTAATGTGCCTAACTATTTAAGTACATCCAGAATAATACACAAGCACCAAGAAATGACCTCAAAAACCCATAAGTGGCGAGTAATTAGCATTGCAAAAGTAATTAAAATATTCTAAAACTCATTTGAACATTTTCTAAAAGCCATTTGAACAAGTTATAATCAAGATATCAAATTTTGGTTAACAGATCCTTAAGCAGCACATTCAAGAGTACCTATACTGAAATTTTGAACAAAATCCATTTTTTGGCCGAAAATGACAAAAATTGTAAGTCTTATGCCTTAAAGGATTTTTGGCCAAAAATACTTTTTCTCTCTGAACTAAAATTTAATGTGCCTAAGTATTTAAGTACATGCAGAATAATACACAAAAACCAAGAAATGACCTCGAAAACCCATAAGTGGCGAGTAATTAGCATTGCAAAAGTAATTAAAATATTCTAAAATAATTTGAACATTTTCTAAAAGCCATTTGAACAAGTTATAATCAAGATATCAGAATTTTTTGGTTAACAGATCCTTAAGCAGCATTCAGGAGTACCTATGCTGAAATTTTGAACAAAATCCATTTTTGGCCGAAAATGACAAAATTGTGAGTCTATAGCCTTAAAGGTTTTTGGCTGAAAATACTTTTCTCTCTGAACTAAAATTTAATGTGCCTAACTATTTAAATTACATCGAAATAATACACAAGCACCAAGAAATGACCTCGAAAACCGCAAGTGGCAGGTAATTAGCATTGCAAAGTAATTAAATATTGTAAAATCATTTGAACATTTTCTAAAAGCCATTTGAACAAGTTATAATCAAGATATCAAATTTTGGTTAACAGATCCTTAAGCAGCACATTCAGGAGTACCTATGCTGAAATTTTGAACAAAATCCATATTTTGGCCGAAAATGTCAAAAATTGTAAGTCTTATGCCTTAAAGGATTTTTGGCCAAAAATACTTTTTCTCTCTGAACTAAAATTTAATGTGCCTAACTATTTAAGTACATGCAGAATAATACACAAGCACCAAGAAATGACTACGAAAACCCATAAGTGGCGAGTAATTAGCATTGCAAAAGTAATTAAAATATTCTAAAAACCATTTGAACATTTTCTAAAAGCCAATTGAACATTTTCACAAAGCCATTTGAACAAGTTATAATCAAGATATCCAAATTTTTAGTTAACAGATCATAAACTTAACACATTCAGGGTACTATACTGAAAGTTTGAACAAAATCCATTTTTGGCCGAAAATGAGCAAAATTGTAAGTCTATAACTAAAAAGGATTTTTGGCAAAATACTTTTTCTCTCCTGAACTAAAATTTAATGTGCCTAACTATTTAAGTACATCCAGAATAATACACAAGCACCAAGAAATGACCTCGAAAACCCATAAGTGGCGAGTAATTAGCATTGCAAAAGTAATTAAAATATTGTAAAAATAATTTGAACATTTTCTAAAAGCCATTTGAACAAGTTATAATCAAGATATCAAATTTTGGTTAACAGATCCTTAAGCAGCACATTCAGGAGTACCTATACTGAAAGTTTGAACAAAATCCATTTTTTGGCCGAAAATGACAAAAATTGTAAGTCTATAGCCTTAAAGGATTTTTGGCCAAAAATACTTTTTCTCTCTGAACTAAAATTTAATGTGCCTAACTATTTAAGTACATGCAGAATAATACACAAGCACCAAGAAATGACCTCGAAAACCCATAAGTGGCGAGTAATTAGCATTGCAAAAGTAATTAAAATATTCTAAAAATAATTTGAACATTTTCTAAACGCCATTTGAACAAGTTATAATCAAGATATCAAATTTTGGTTAACAGATCCTTAAGCAGCACATTCAGGAGTACCTATACTGAAATTTTTAACAAAATCCATTTTTTGGCCGAAATGACGAAATTGTAAGTCTAAAGCCTTAAAGGATTTTTGGCCAAAAATACTTTCTCTCTCTGAACTAAAATTTAATGTGCCTAACTATTTAAGTACATCCAGAATAATACACCAGCACCAAGAAATGACCTCGAAAACCCATAAGTGGCGAGTAATTAGCATTGCAAAAGTAATTAAAATACTGTATTCTAAAAATCATTTGAAATTTTTCTAAAAGCCATTTGAACAAGTTATAATCAAGATATCAAATTTTGGTTAACAGATTCTTAAGCAGCACATTCAGGAGTACCTATACTGAAATTTTGAACAAAATCCATTTTTTGGCCGAAATGAAGACAATTGTAAGTCTATAGCCTTAAAGGATTTTTGACCAAAAATACGTTTTCTCTCTGAACTAAAATTTAATGTGCCTAACTATTTAAGTACATCTAGAATAATACACAAGCACCAAGAAATGACCTCGAAAACCATAAGTGAGGTAATTAGCATTGCAAAAGTAATTAAAAATATTACAAAATAATTTGAACATTTTCTAAAAAGCCATTTGAACAAAGTTATAATCAGGAATGTAGATTTTGGTTAACAGATCTGTAGCAGCACATTCAGGTACTATACTGAAAGTTTGGTGAATCATTTTTTGGCCGAAAATGACAAAATTATAAGTCTATAATAACAGGATTTTGGCCAAAAATACTTTTTCTCTCTGAACTAAAAATTTAATGTGCCTAACACTATTTAAGTACATCTAGAATAATACACAAGCACCAAGAAATGACCTCGAAACCCATAAGTGGCGAGTAATTAGCATTGCAAAGTAATTAAAATATTGTAAAAATCATTTGAACATTTTCTAAAACCATTTGAACAAGTTATAATCAAGATATCAAATTTTGGTTAACAGATCCTTAAGCAGCACATTCAGGAGTACCTATACTGAAAGTTTGAACAAAATCCATTTTTTGGCCGAAAATGACAAAAATTGTAAGTCTATAGCCTTAAAGGATTTTTGGCCAAAAATACTTTTTCTCTCTGAACTAAAATTTAATGTGCCTAACTATTTAAGTACATCTAGAATAATACACAAGCACCAAGAAATGACCTCGAAAACCCATAAGTGGCGAGTAATTAGCATTGCAAAAGTAATTAAAATATTGTAAAAATCATTTGAACATTTTCTAAAAGCCATTTGAACAAGTTATAATCAAGATATCAAATTTTGGTTAACAGATCCTTAAGCAGCACATTCAGGAGTACCTATACTGAAAGTTTGAACAAAATCCATTTTTTGGCCGAAAATGACAAAAATTGTAAGTCTATAGCCTTAAAGGATTTTTGGCCAAAAATACTTTTTCTCTCTGAACTAAAATTTAATGTGCCTAACTATTTAAGTACATCCAGAATAATACACAAGCACCAAGAAATGACCTCGAAAACCCATAAGTGGCGAGTAATTAGCATTGCAAAAGTAATTAAAATATTGTAAAAATCATTTGAACATTTTCTAAAAGCCATTTGAACAAGTTATAATCAAGATATCAAATTTTGGTTAACAGATCCTTAAGCAGCACATTCAAGTACCTATACTGAAATTTTTGAACAATATCCATTTTTTTGTCAAAATGACCAAATTATGAAGTCTATAGCCTTAAGGTTTTGGCCAAAAATACTTTTCTCTCTGAACTAAAAATTTAATGTGCCTAACTATTTAAGTACATCAGAGATAATACACACAAGCACCAAAAATGACCTCCGAAAACCCATAAGTGGCGAGTAATTAGCATTGCAAAGTAATTAAAATATTGTAAAATCATTTGAACATTTTCTAAAAGCCATTTGAACAAGTTATAATCAAGATATCAAATTTTTTTGGTTAACAGATCCTTAAGCAGCACATTCAGGAGTACCTATACTGGTACGACAAATCCATTTTTTGGCCGAAAATGACAAAAATTGTAAGTCTAAAGCCTTAAGGATTTTTGGCCAAAAATACTTTTTCTCTCTGAACTAAAATTTAATGTGCCTAACTATGTAAGTACATCCAGAATAATACACAAGCACCAAGAAATGACCTCGAAAACCCATAAGTGGTGAGTAATTAGCATTGCAAAAGTAATTAAAATATTCTAAAAATAATTTGAACATTTTCTAAAAGCCATTTGAACAAGTTATAATCAAGATATCAAATTTTGGTTAACAGATCCTTAAGCAGCACATTCAGGAGTACCTATACTGAAATTTTGAACAAAATCCATTTTTGGCCGAAATGACGAAAATTGTAAGTCTATAGCCTTAAAGGATTTTTGGCCAAAAATACGTTTTCTCTCTGAACTAAAATTTAATGTGCCTAACTATTTAAGTACATCCAGAATAATACACAAGCACCAAGAAATGACCTCGAAAACCCATAAGTGGCGAGTAATTAGCATTGCAAAAGTAATTAAAATATTATAAAAATCATTTGAACATTTTCTAAAAAGCCATTTTGAACAAGTTATAATCAAGATATCAAAATTTTAGTTGTGAATCATAAGCAGCACATTCAGGAGTACCTATACTGAAATTTTGAACAAAATCCATTTTTTGGCCAAAAATGACAAAAATTGTAAGTCTAAAGCCTTAAAGGATTTTTGGCCAAAAATACGTTTTCTCTCTGAACTAAAATTTAATGTGCCTAACTATTTAAGTACATCCAGAATAATACACAAGCACCAAAAAATGACCTCGAAAACCCATAAGTGGCGAGTAATTAGCATTGCAAAAGTAATTAAAATATTCTAAAAATCATTTGAACATTTTCTAAAAGCCATTTGAACAAGTTATAATCAAGATATCAAATTTTGGTTAACAGATCCTTAAGCAGCACATTCAGGAGTACCTATACTGAAATTTTGAACAAAATCCATTTTTTGGCCGAAATGACAAAAATTGTAAGTCTAAAGCCTTAAAGGATTTTTGGCCAAAAATACGTTTTCTCTCTGAACTAAAATTTAATGTGCCTAACTATTTAAGTACATCCAGAATAATACACAAGCACCAAGAAATGACCTCGAAAACCCATAAGTGGCGAGTAATTAGCATTGCAAAAGTAATTAAAATATTCTAAAAATAATTTGAACATTTTCTAAAAGCCATTTGAACAAGTTATAATCAAGATATCAAATTTTGGTTAACAGATCCTTAAGCAGCACATTCAGGAGTACCTATACTGAAAGTTTGAACAAAATCCATTTTTTGGCCGAAAATGACAAAAATTGTAAGTCTATAGCCTTAAAGGATTTTTGGCCAAAAATACTTTTTCTCTCTGAACTAAAATTTAATGTGCCTAACTATTTAAGTACATCCAGAATAATACACAAGCACCAAGAAATGACCTCAAAAACCCATAAGTGGCGAGTAATTAGCATTGCAAAATTAATTAAAATATTCTAAAAATCACTTGAACATTTTCTAAAAGCCATTTGAACAAGTTATAATCAAGATATCAAATTTTGGTTAACAGATCCTTAAGCAGCACATTCAGGAGTACCTATACTGAAATTTTTAACAAAATCCATTTTTTGGCCGAAATGACGAAATTGTAAGTCTAAAGCCTTAAAGGATTTTTGGCCAAAAATACTTTTCTCTCTGAACTAAAATTTAATGTGCCTAACTATTTAAGTACATCCAGAATAATACACAAGCACCAAGAAATGACCTCGAAAACCCATAAGTGGCGAGTAATTAGCATTGCAAAAGTAATTAAAATATTCTAAAAATCATTTGAACATTTTCTAAAAGCCATTTGAACAAGTTATAATCAAGATATCAAATTTTGGTTAACAGATCCTTAAGCAGCACATTCAGGAGTACCTATACTGAAATTTTGAACAAAATCCATTTTTTGGCCGAAAATGACAAAAATTGTAAGTCTATAGCCTTAAAGGATTTTTGGCCAAAAATACTTTTTCTCTCTGAACTAAATTTAATGTGCCTAACTATTTAAGTACATCCAGAATAATACACAAGCACCAAGAAATGACCTCGAAAACCCATAAGTGGCGAGTAATTAGCATTGCAAAAGTAATTAAAATATTGTAAAAAATCATTTGAACATTTTCTAAAAGCCATTTGAACAAGTTATAATCAAGATATCAAATTTTGGTTAACAGATCCTTAAGCAGCACATTCAGGAGTACCTATACTGAAATTTTGAACAAAATCCATTTTTTGGCCGAAATGAAAAATTGTAAGTCTAAAGCCTTAAAGTTTTGGCCAAAAATACTTTTTCTCTCTGAACTAAAATTTAATGTGCCTAACTATTTAAGTACATCCAGAATAATACACAAGCACCAAGAAATGACCTCGAAAACCCATAAGTGGCGAGTAATTAGCATTGCAAAAGTAATTAAAATATTCTAAAAATCATTTGAACATTTTCTAAAAGCCATTTGAACAAGTTATAATCAAGATATCAAATTTTGGTTAACAGATCCTTAAGCAGCACATTCAGGAGTACCTATACTGAAATTTTGAACAAAATCCATTTTTTGGCCGTTATCCCAAATTAGGTATATACAGTACTAGGTAAAAAATATTCACCTGTGAGTGCCAGGATTCAAACCCAGGTCACTAAGGTCAGCAGTCAGTCAACCACCCACGGGACCACAATGGGCTAAAAGCAACCCATTCTTAGCTACTCACTACACTGCACATCTGCTTATACTCTCTCACTTGGCAATCATATGCCCCTTAGAGGGATTCATTCTAAACAGTATGAATTCTAGATCTAATTCAAATCCCACACTTTATCTCTAGAAGATTCTTCAGTCCAGCCCAGCAGGAGACTTAAAATCCCAGTCTTTGGTCTGTTGGCTGATTGCTATTGCTTCTACACAAGAGGGAGGGTCTGGATATTCAGATACAGTGTAGGGTATTCATTTTGAGACATCAAGACAAATTTACCATACACGCAACTATGACACTTGAAAGTCTTATGTTAGCTCTGTACTGTGACTACCAAGATAAAGGGAGGAGGCTGTACTATTGGTTGGAGATTATGCCTTTATCCTAGCCTCTACTTCCTGGCTTAGGTGCACTTGAGTCACCCAGAGCTACTGTGCGAATTATAAATGATGGATTGATTATGAAATTCCATTTCATAACTAAGTACAGTAAGGTAGCTAGATCCCTCACCCTCCCAATGGGTGTTGAGATGAGCTGACTTCCCATTTTCTAGTTTGTTCAGTTCATGGGGCATACTGTATGTACTGTAGCCTGGAGGTGTAGACTGCATTTGGTCTAGGGAACTGATTCATCAGTGCTAGTCACTTTTGACAGACTGCAGTCGAGTCGGAGGTACAGTATTACAGCGCTTCTCTTAGTCATTTTGTCATTTTTCTGTGACTTATCAGTGGGGGGGGGGGTGAGTGAAAGGTTTCTGAGAACTTTTGGGTCAAACCTGTTAGCTTTATGATGCCATACTTAGGTTGTTTGTTCGTTGTGGAATCATAAAATGAAATTTCAGGATCGACCCTTAGATTCAATCAAATGTCTAAATTAGAATGTATAAATTTCTTCTTTCTGTGCTTAATGCACAGAACACCATGAACATCATCATCACCATTTTCCAAGCGTGAGTGAGTTAGACATGATCAATTACCTCTGAGTTAATTTCTGACACCCTCTCCCTGTTATTCTTGACCTACCTCTAGTTCTCCTCATCCCCACATTCAAACTCCTAAATCTTGACCAAATTGGTCTCCTCCATTCTCTCCACATGCCTGACCTGTCAGTACATGATTTCCTATCTTTGTCACATCTTACCATTTTCATATGAGTTCACTCAAGCCTATGAATGTCATCCTCTGTAACTGCCCATGTTTCACTGCTCCACATCTTTCCTTTCACACGAGAAGTTCCTCTCACCATCAATAAAGGCAACAATTACCTAAGCTTCTTATGGCCACACTGACAATAAATGGTCAAGGTCAAATTTGTTAAGCTTTGCATTTTTAAGCTGGACAAAAACCATTATATAAGGCAAATTTGGTCATAATGTAATTAACTGACAACACGGCTAGTTCTGAATTTGACGTCACTTGAGTACAGTACAGTACTATTAACTACAAACTTAATCTGAAAAGGAAAAAAATCCTGACTAGGGTCTGTACTTTTATTAATAACGTTATTCATTACTCTTAAATCTTCAAAAATAATTATTTATGCATCCCTAGATATTAATTATAAAATGTCTACCAGTCAATATTCTAACAATGAATAGATAAACAACAGCAAAATAGTACATACTTTAATCACTTATTCCAGTGTTAGTTTTTAAGAATTTTCTGGCATTTCCTAATCCATCAAATTTTGACTTAGGTGTATCTGTATCTAAGAATGTGACCTGGGCAACACATTTTGCCGCTCCTTTCCTGCGTGAAGCAGCACAATATACAACGTTGTGAGACAAGGATACTATAGCCTGTTTGGCAGCACCTTCTGTCAAGCCAAAGAACCGTCCCAGATTCATGACATCATATGGGTGCCGAAGATGGCTTGGAACTCTAGCTTGACTGGTGACTATGATGTTTGCTGATCTTGAGCACTGATGTAGGATGTGAGATAATGTGATGGTGCGCTGTCGGCTGCCAGAGTTTAGAATGCAAGGGCCATAGCTCAGCTGTCAAAATATATTTATAATTTGAACGACAAAATTTTCTTCCAAAAACATTATACAGTTCAACACATCTGCTTTTAATACAATAAAATACAATAATGGAAAGTTAAGGTAGATTAGTGCCTTTCTTTACTGCCAGTCCCTGAGTTAACTATATCCTTACTGACAAGTGAGAGACTCGTCAAGCAGTTGCACCATTTGTACAGATGGACTCTACAATGGACGAGTTGACGGTTCTGGGCAAACACAAGACATACATTCTGCCATGTTCGTAGAGTAATACGGTATATATAACTTATAATGAAAGTTTAAAGTCCTGCTATAATAGTCGAGATAAGTTTATTTGCAATGAGGACATTAGTTTCAAACTGTTCGCTGCAGTCAGAGGTAGTAGAAAGGACGATGACCTCTTCAGACCTCAAATGCCACATTCAGGTACGTTTTAAGAGTGTTTTTTATGGTCTAAGTCATGGACATTTTGTAAGTGAAGAAATGTACCATGAAGAGCAGCTTCAACCATAGGTTGGATGGATACACGAGCGATAGGGGTTGGGTGTAAGTGGGACTGCCCAGTATAGGCCAATAGGCCCGCTGCAATTTCCTCCATTCTTATGTTCTTTTGGACATAAAAAACTACCATGTTCACACCAGCTCAGCTGTCATGTACTCTTACCTGGTAGACGTTCTCTTTTTTTTTCAGTGCATTTACAGAGTATATCAGAACTACGAGATGCAGATACGGGTAAATTTAGAAGTAATGACAACATAGTGCTGTTATTGTTTTGATGATGTACTAATGAACCACTGGGATATATCATCATTTATATTAATTAATGGGTAAAATTTTACTTTAACTATCATGAGTATTTAGATGTTTAGATTCGAGATAGGCTATATTGGGTAAATTTTAAGTTTTGGTCATCCCTGTACTTAGACATGCAGACTATGTTTTCTTCTTCTGGTGACTTACAATGTGTTATGGACGACTTAGACCTTCATTTATATCTGAAATCACTAGTTTTGAGTTACTACCCTCCCCCCCCCCCTTACCGATGAATGTTAAGCTAACCTTATAACTCATCATACCCGAACCTAACATATGATCTGTATTTTCTTATGCGATCGAAAAAAATTTGCGACAGAAATCCTGCAGAAATAATGTGTCTTATTGTTTAAAGTACTTAATCCCATAGTTATAATCTTAAGGTTCCCCAGATGACCAAAACCAAAATAATATCTATATTGTTTGGAATGTTTATACTATGAAATTTGTTAAATGGCCAGCTAATATCCATTGATTAGTTTATGTGCTTAGTAATATTCATATATTCAAAATAGTATTACTGTGTTGCACAATAAAGCACAATTAACTATCTAACAATATTTATTTACTGAGCTGATCAACCGAGAAGGTTGGGTAACCACAGCTGGTTGCCTCCCCCTGGAAAGCTAACCCCAGCCAGTGACGTCACAACCAATCACAGAGCTTTATGCAGTCACGTGACTCTTTAGCAACTTTAACCCTTATTTTTTACACTTTTTGGCCCAATTTATTTAAAAACTATCATTACCATAGTGAATTTAAGCGTTTTATTTACCCATTGATCTGCCGTCTTGAGAAAAAATTCCGACCGTCAACTCGCCCATTCTAGAAAGACACACCCCTGGCCCCCCAATGTCTTCAAAATTCCCAAGTTATTTTGAGTTATAGACGAGTACGTACAAGGAAACTAAACTTACAAGTTTTCTAAAATATATCCACACAGCTATACAGTATTATACTTTAAATTGGGGTAACCACAATCTAGCCAAAATCCCATCACCTTTTGTATAATGGAGTTGGCAATCCCCTCAGAAATGTCATCAATCATTTTTTATCCCAGATAATTGAGATCTAGTATTTCCAAACATCACAAGTGAGATAATCAAATGCACTGACAAAGAAGGAACGGAAAGTTGTAGGCTAAATAAAAGTTTACACACCTAAAAAAAATAATTATATAACATGGGGATGCATAATCAAAACAGGAGTCACTTATTTAAAATTTGGTTATAAAATGGTACAGTAGTATTTCTTTTTTTTACTTTCCAACTCTCTTTCTGTTCAACTTTATTGTGTCCTGAATCCCCATTATACATCTACACTATACATTCTTTACTATTTGCTTACATATAAAGAGTCCTGTCAACAGTAACAATAAAGCCCCATTAAAACTATTAACAGTGGAATTACAATAATGTATTGTTATGTGAACACTACAGTACTGTATACACTTACCTCAAAATATATATCTCGTTCCACTGCTAAACGCAATAATTTCCTAGCAAAGCGGGCACCCTGTTCGTTTGGGTTCAGTGAGATAATATCCACATCTACAAGTGTCTGGCACACAGTCTGAAAATTGCATAAAAATTAGTCATATTACTGACAAACTGATAACCACGAGTGTCTTCGCTGACGAGAGTAGTACTAGGTGATTTTTTTTTAAAGTCTAGTGGATTTCACGTGAGAGTTTGTCCTTTGAAATCCAATACTATACTGTAGGATATAATTGTCAGGTTAAGCTTGGTTTAGATGAGCAAGATGAAATGTATGACTTAAATGTGTACTTAGAGGTAGGTAAATGCCCTACTTTGCACAGTACAGTAGATGGATGGAAGATGTGAGAGTTTCAAGGAAGAGAAATGTGAGGAATGAAGTTCAAGTAAATGAAACTTAAATGGAGTAGAGGTGGTGTGATAAAGAATCATGTGTGTTGTGACTATGATTTGAAGGAGTAAGGAAGTTGGAGTGGGTTTCAACTGTCTGCTTGGGCACTTAGATATATCATTAAATAACTGGTTGTGATGGCAATATTATTCTGTGTTCATGTAATAAACCTTAGGGTTCTCAGTCGAGGAAGAATGAGCACGATAATTTTTGATTGTTTAGACAGGTCATTCTGCTACCCTGAGCCCAAAATTCTCAGTAATCTCTCTTATCTAGGTGCCATATTATTTCCCTTTACTGATATATACTGCACAGGTATTCTAAGAGGTGAGGCCTCCATTCTTGACCTTCTAATGGCTGAATAAACAAGTATTTATGACAACCATAACACTGTAAAGTTAAATAAGTTCACTGAGCATTTTAAAAGGTACTGAACAAAAATTGGTGAGACAAGGTATTTCCCGATATATCATAAGTCAAAATTTAAATAAATCTCTGAAGTCTTACTAAAGATATCTGTGGAAACTATCACAGAAGAAAGATTTCGACACTAATGCAAAAATTAAGTATAAATCTCTTGAAGTATAGGGTATAAGAGGAAGAAAAGTGAGAAAAAATCCTTACTTGTTTAAGAGCACCTTCGGTTGTTGGAGTGAATGCTATAATATCATACTGCTTAATGACTTCACGGAATTTTGAGAGGAAAGCAGACCCGGGATCAGAATACGTGACTGTGATCCTTGTGAGGATGACAGGCTCTCTGGTGATACCGTGCTGACGGAGATCCTCTTCTGACAATTCCAATTTTGGTGGAGGAGGAACCATAGGAAAATCTCCTGTAAATAATAATCACTAATTATTTTACGGGAATTATCATCAGATGCCTTTACTCTTCCTATTCTTTATAACAAATATGCTTTTTCTAAACTCAAAACACAATAAAGTACTGTAAATGGATTTATGGATTTATTTTTTTAATATTTTTAATTATAATCATCTTCGGATAATGTGGGTCCAATAAAGGATAAAACAGTAATATATATAAAAAGTGATGAGTATTTCTACATTATGGTCTCCAGGTATTTTTGTTTTCCTTGTCCTTCACCAGCTATGCACTCTATGCCCATACATCCTGTCATACCAGGATAAGCATCTGTATGGCTGACTCACTGTTTGACAGAGTACAGTATAGGTCTCACGTCAATCCCTGTTAAAGTACTAATGCAGTGGCTACATACACATAGACAGTACAGTGATAACACCCAAGTACAGTACAAGTATCTGTTATTAAATAATCTGTTTACATTTATTTCATGCAAGATACAGGTTAGGCAGTCGTATGTGAAACATCGACGTCTATTGGTATGGCAGTCTGATGCACATTTGTTGGCAGACTATACAATGATAGTTGCTAAGATGACCTTCTTTCTGACTAACCTAACCTAACCGCTCTGCCCAAATAGAAGGAAGCACCGAGTACCGCATTTTGGTATGTGCAATTCTCGGCCGTACCATTAACCACATTCTGTCAATATGGCTGTCATACCTGCATCCAGTATGAATTTGTATTATGACTGCCCACGATTTAATACTTGGATACTTCTTTTTGTATTAAAAAAAAACATGTAATTGATGAGGAAACTGCTACTGTACTTTATGTTATAAAAATTACACAAATCTTTACAACTTTCGTGTTTCTCCAGTTAGATGTAGCACATGTATTGTTTACTTCTTCTTCATATGATATACTTATGATCTGCCGCCGTTAAATAAGGTAAGGTTCTCGGTTAAGCTAGGACACGTTAGGTCAGGTTTCCTTTGGTTTGATTGGTTCAGTATTTTTACCCCACACTTTCCCTGGACGTCTACGCCCTGAACCACCTTGTGTATTAACAGTCGTTGGTAGCTAGGGTGAGGGGAGGGGTCATACCTCCATAAATATTGCTTTTACCACTGATCAGCTCGTTAGCCATCTGTAAAAGAATATTGTTGATTTCTGGACAGATATACAATCAGTGTAAGATTACCTAATCGTCATTCTGGTTCATCATGTACATGTATATAAACACAGGTATTAAAGTCAATCTAACGAAGGATGACCCAAGAGACTGTACCTTTTTTCCGTTTTTTCTTCTCAGAAGTTGAATTATCAATTACCTCTCTGTTGATAGCGACAGTTTGGTACCCAATACTTAATGCCTTAAGCACAGTATTTTTGAGATCCTCATCTGATGCTGATATATTTAAATCACAAAACCCTCGTGCAAGTTTCATCTCAGCGGTGGACGAGCGAGTGACCAGCTGGCGTGATGTAAACAAACCTGAGGTAGCGGGAAGCGCTGAGGTAGCGGGAAGCGCTGAGGTAGCGGGAAGCAAAGTAGCATAAAAAATAAATAACTATATACAGTACAATGGTTAGATAGACAGACAGATATTATATATAATTTATTCAGTTAAATCGCTTTAGAAGTTCTTATTGGTTCAGAATGTAGTCAGTAAAAAATATACAAACAATGGCAACTACCAGCCAAGGACAACCCCCAAAATGATAAATAATAATAATAATAATAATAATAATAATAATAATAATAATAATAATAATAATAATAATAATAATAATAATAAAATTTATTTGAGGATTACCTGAAGATTCAGTTTGACTATAATTCGACAGGGTCGTTTGCTAATCAACAAAAATAAATTTACAAAATAGGCGAATATGCAGCATATGCTGCTAAGTATAGTAACTAGAGTTTTTAATCTTCTCATAAGTTGTTGTTAGACATATATATTACTAACCTTGTTATGCGTTTAAAGACCATCGTTGTTAAAGTGTAGTAATAACACTATAACTACAACAACGACAACATTTCGATTAGAATATCCGAGACTGATGGATTATTTTCGCAATACAACATCCATTAATGAGACAGAAAATCGCTCCCTCTCCTGTACCTTCACCAGCTAGATTTTTTTTTTACTGATTTGTTTGACACTAATACTAGATTTAATAAAGTTTGATAAGCTATTCCAATTTTTTGTAGCAATAAGAATGGAACTATTTTTTGTAAAACCTATTCCCTAATCCATGTTCAATATAATAAATCTTATGTAGGATAATGTTTTGAATAATTTGTAGTTTGGTTTCTAGATTTTGTACTAGGCAGAGTACCATGATGAATAAGAATTGATAGTCCATGTGATATACTGTCCATCGGGAATCAGCTGATAAATATTTGTCACTTTTTTCCTCTTTATTATTTACAATTAATTCCACAGATAGTCAAGACTCAGACCCTCTGCTGCCCACCCTGACTCCTACTTTTCCCCATTGCTCTTGCTACACATTCTATCATCAGCCACATTTACAGGCATTTTATGTGTTTCTTGGATTCTCAACTTTCTGCCTTTTTTGAGACCAATGTTCTCATTAGCATTGCTTAACACTACTTCTTATTAATTTAGGGAGATATGTAAAGAGGGGGGTAAGGAACTAGGATGATAGTGAGGTAGGTAAGAGGGAAAATATGGAGGGAGGCAGTCAGGGAGGAACTATAGGAAGGTAAGCAAGAAAATAAGGTGGTAGGGAGGTTGGTAAGCAGGGAAGTAGGTATGGTTACATATGGTTTGAGTGAGTGGCCGTTACATTGGCTTCAGGACCACAGTAATTACCACAGCAGGTAGCCGCAGCCAAGTGAAGCAACGCACCGTGTTAGTGTGTGATGGTGCAGGGTGCCACGCAGGGTTGGTTGTTGCATGTTCTTATGAATATGTAAATAAACATAATACCAAGGGAATCTTTACATGTTTGGCAAGAGTGTAAATGATGATAAGTGTACTATATTATGTCATAATCAAACTGTTTATTTGTTTTCAGCCGAATATAATTTGCCTTTTACTTTCGCGCCGTTTGTTTTCCACGTTTATTAAGGATGTGTCGCTAATTATTTTTTTTCTTCTAGTTTTTAGTTATCTCCCGTATTTCTTATATTAATTCTCCCTACCATTATCTCTTTACAGGCATTATTATTATTTGAGATAGACTCTCTCTCTCTCTCTCTCTCTCTCTCTCTCTCTCTCCCTTTTTCCGTTTAGCTCTTTGAGTATTCCACTTTATCTCTTACTCTCCTTCACTTAGTCCATTTTTTTCACCGCCTCGCCCTCTCAGAACCACTTTCCTTCCCCTCTCACTCTTCCCCTCTCACTCTTCACCTCTCTATTTTGAAATCTTCTTCTCTCGTCTCCCTCATTTTGTCTCTCATCCCCTTCCCCCCCCCTCTTAATCTCTCACCTCACAGAACCTTCTCTTTATACATTCCTTGTCTCCTCTACCTCTACCTCCTGCCTATACAAGAACCTCTACCTCTACCTCCTGCCTAACCCCAGAGCCTCTACCTCCTTCCTCCTGCCTATACAAGAACTACTCTACCTCCTACCCTGCTGAGAACCTCTACCTCTACCTCCTGCCTATACAAGAACCTCTACCTCTACCTCCTGCCTATACAAGAACCTCTACCTCTACCTCCTGCCTATACAAGAACCTCTACCTCCTGCCTATACAAGAACCTCTACCTCTACCTCCTGCCTATACAAGAACCTCTACCTCTACCTCCTGCCTATACAAGAACCTCTACCTCTACCTCCTGCCTATACAAGAACATGGCCACCTCCAAGATTACCTCACTCCTCTCTACTTTCCCTTCGTGTGTTTTTTTCCCTTTCCTTGTACCCCCCCCCCCCCTGCAGCGTCCCTCTACCTTTCCACTTGGGGTATAAACTCTCGCGCCATCTGGTGAAATAATGATCACTGCAACATCCTATATCATTTGCAACACCACATAAGTATACATGAGACTACATATACTTGTTTTAGGTTAGGTTATGCTGCGTTAGGTTAGGTTGTGTTGGGTAAGGTTAGGTTTGGTTAAGTTAGGTTAGGTTAGGTTAGGTCAGGTTTGGTGAAGTTGTATTAGTGTTAGGTTGGGTAAGGTTAGATTGGGTTAGGTTAGGTTAGGTTAGGTTAGTAAAGTTAGATTGTTAGGTTAGGTTAGGTTAGTTAAGGCTAGGTTGGGAAGGTTAGGGTTTTGGTTAAAGGTCAGTCAGGTCAGGTCAGGTCAGGTCAGGTCAGGTCAGGTCAGGTCAGGTCAGGATGGGTTAGGTTACATTAGTTAGGACTAGGTTAGGTTAGGATGGTTAAGGTTAGGTTAGGTTGATGTCGTTTTGTCACTACTAAGCCATCGTCCTTAAATAGTTAATCCATTGTTCTATAAAAAATGTTAAACCATCACCCTTGAAATATTAAACCATCGTCCTCAGAGTGTGATTAATTCGAAATCAGTAGTTACCAGTCAAAACCTCTATAGAGAAAAAAAAACAAATGAAGAGAGTGAATGGTATTAAAAGTTGCAATGTATAATTAGAAATCGGTTCCAATGCCATGAAGTGAAGTAAGCGTAGCGCAGACCAGTGGGAGAGAGAGAGAGAGAGAGAGAGAGAGAGAGAGAGAGAGAGAGAGAGAGTGCATGAAAAACTTATATTCCTCCACAAGAAGTCACGAAAAGATAATATCCCACAGAGCAACACGCGAGGCTCCCGTCTTGTGGAGAAGCAGGGTAAGGTTGAGCTCAAGGACGTGCTGGTATTTCTCTCTCTCTGACACAAGCACACACAGTACCTACAGTTACGAGAGGGATTGATAACTACAACATTTACATCAAAGGTAACAATAATGATAAGAAGACTGAACACTTCTCAGGGGCGATCTTCACTAACAAATGAGGTATATTTGGAAAGAAAAAAACAAGGCATCTAGGTATTTTTACGAGATTAGTCACAAACATACACAAAAAAAGGGGATAAACGAACTTGTGAATAAATTATCAAAATATAAACGAGATTACCAAAGAAACATGTGGAAAATCGTGATAGCATCTGGCAGGATAATGTTGATAAATGAGGGAGATGAGGAGAGGGCGCGAGTCAATGACACACCACACTACAGCGTCACTGAGCTGGTACTTTACGGTCACTGAGTTGTGTGAGCTCCTCTATGCTGCTGTCTGACAATGGTCACAAAAGTCTTTGGTAGAAATCTCCCCGGATTAATATTCTTCTCTTTAATCAGACCGTGGTAAAGTTTGTAAAGTGCGCAGTGAGAATCCATCCAACTTTATATACCATTCATATAACCATTTCTTCGATCTAATAGGAAGTAAGCAAATATCCTTTTTTTTTTAGTTAGCTGAGGACTTAACGTAACAATCTAGATAAGAATAAAGTTATTTTGTAAATTCTGAGAGAAAATGTTGCGAAGGCCTACCAATTGCCGGCTGCAGCGTCTAACTATATCCATCACATAGTTATGTCTACATGGAACGCCCTTAAAATGTCTATATACCACCACACAAGCACCAGTCTTACATTTCGTCAGAATTTCAATAACAAAAAGTATCATTATTTCAAGGTGACTGAATATTGATACCACTATATTATTATTGCTTATGTCATGAGTAGTGAAAATTTAACTAGTAAGTCATATATTTTATCTGTCAAGTGAGAGTCAATGGTACTATTTTGCATAATTCCCATAACGAGTGTGTGTGTGTGTGTGTGTCAGGATTACTACGACTTAAAAAAAAAAAGATCAGAAACAGTTTTTTTAGCGGATTCGTCGAAGTGACCAGTCAGCACATCTGTTTACAAGTGATGTCACCCATAATGCCTTGGGGGGGGGGGAGGATAAGCTAGGGTTTAGTGTAGGATAACTAAGGATAGGTTAGCGTTAGGGTGGTTAATCTTCAGGTGAAATAAAGTTGGATCGATGAAACGAGAAAATGTAGAGAGGACTTGAAAGATAAACTAAAGACTGATGCAATAGATGTAGTTCCAATTATCAGAATTTTAGAAAGACTTTTATATGAACTGTGTGATGTTGAGTGGAGCTTCGTGTGACCTAGAGGTGAATGTAATAACCCTGGAGCAGCCATGACAGAACTCAGAAGCTGATAAATGACGACACAGATTATTAACTTGTGATCAATACTACAGCAACTAGATCCTTAAACTCACGCGTGTCTCATTATTGGAACTGTCTGTTGACGCATTTGTGCATTTTATCATTCACTCTGTTTATTGTTCGATGTTAAATACGAATATGTCCACCACCATCACTTCTAGTATACCACCACCACCATATTTAGCCTCAATGACAGACAACTAAGGTCATCACCATATAGATTACCATATCAAGATGATTGACTTCTCGTCGCCCTCAGGAGACGTACAGCGTGGCGCCTGACAGGTGGGTGCCGCTCCTTACTG